AATGGTCTGGCCACAAAAGTCCAAATGTCAACAAAAGCAGTAATAGTTTTTTTGCTTCATTTTCAGCCCCATCTCAGGTGGGAACTCTCTTCTTTTACCATGAGTGGCAGCAGAGCTCATGCTTACATTTCACAGAGAAAGAATAACAGTGGGAAGAGAGAGGTGGCAAAGGACATCTGCCTTATTGTCTTGTGTTTGGTATAGTCACAGGCAGTGCAAACTCACATCCCTGTCTGATCCATTCATGGTTATAGTTTGGGACACATCAGATCTCCTGGGACCTCTGGAAGAGGAGACAGGCAGCTTGAAGGCAGTGCTGACCTCTGGCACCCAGAAAGCTGCCAGCACTGCTCTGCTAAAGCTTCCCTTTCCCCAGGGAGAGCCAGAAATGGGGAACAGAAACTAGGAAGTCTACCGCTAGACAAGAAGAGCAGAACAGGAATTGCAACTGGAGCCTGAAGCAGTGACTGCCAAGTATAGGGGCTGAGAGGGAAACAAAAAAGTTACAGACCACTAACGAAGAGCAGATTTCATTTCCCCCTCTGGATGAAATTTGCTTTCTCTGAGTGTGTGGAAAGCAACAGTGACAGGGAACATTTACAAAGGAAAATTGTTTGTTTCCAGCTGCACCATGGAATAGAAACAACCCAAAAGGAAAAGAACAGAACTGACTGAAATCATGTTTCCACAGAAGAAGACTCTCTGAAATTGTCAGTTTTCCTGTTTCTTGATGCTGCTGTCAGGTACTGAGAGCTGAGCTCTGTGCAGAGAACACATGACCAGTCTCCAGCTTGTTCCCAGTGTGGTTTCTGTCTGGGGAAGGCCCTTGCTGGCAGGCAGCAGAACCTGGTCAATGGGACATGACCTGGTGGGAAACCTGCATGTTACAGCCTGTGAGACTGTACAATGTTGGCACAGCCCCCTCAGTGGTATTTTCATTCAAATATATAATTTGTAGCAGTGTTTGGGGGTATGTTTGATCCTGGGAAAAGAGACCAAGTGTGAAAGTGGGGCCTGGATCTGACGTGGGCTGGAAAGTACTGCTGGTGAACAACTATCAAAGAGAGAGGCTGCAACAATTTGCTTGCCCAGAACAGATTTTGAGGCTTTAGCCTAGATGAATCTGATCACACCTCCTTCTTGCCCAGTGCAGAGAGCACGGCTGCAGGGATGCTGCCTGACCTGGGGGAGGTTTGCACCAATACGTGCAGCCCCTGAAACCTGACACCTTGTCGTTATGATAGTGGCCTCTTCCTAGACTTCTCTCACAGTGGTTTCCAACCAGTGGGGTTTGTGTTCTCAGTTCTTGCACTGGGCATTTTGGAGGTTGTGAAAGGCAGGTGATGAGGGAAGGAAAGCCTCACTGGGCCAGCGGTGCAAAAAAAGCCATCCAACAGCTCTTTTCCTGCACCTCCTGCCTGCCCAGCTCCTGGTGGCTCCCCAACAGCCCATCCTGTTTCAAGGTCCACATCCCCATGAGGCTTTTTGATGGCAGCCAGCGAGGGGGGACAGTCATGCTGCCCTGGACAGGCAGGAGCTGCAGCCAGAGGGAGTGGGACAGAAAAAAGGTGGGAAGCGTGAGTCTCACAGGAGTGCTTTTCCATCCCTGGTGCCGATTTCTGTAGCTCTCAGAGGTGTTGAAAGGCTAATTATGTGACATGCTGTGAGGGGCTTGGGCACGGCTGCTGTGGTATCTGTGAGCAAAGCCAGCAATTTAATTAAAAAGGAGGCAGGTTCTCTCACATGCATCACCTCTGCTTGCTCACTTCAGATCACCCGAGCTATCTGCTCTGTGGTGCTTGTTATTTCCCTGCTAGTATGGAGAATTAGTTTATTTTTTTTCTCCTCTCTTTCCCCTCTGCTGCTCCTTCTGCCTGCTGCTCTGGTCTTTGCTTTGTTGCCAACCATCAAACAGCAGCCTTTTCATCTGAGGCTTTCCCATTTCCCTGGTGTGCTGATGTAATTCAGTTCCCACCCTGGTGCTGATGGACTTGGTCTGGACATTGGTCTCTCCTGTCTCATCCCTTACTCTGCGAGGACAGAGCATCTCCCATGTCTGCCAAGGGAGTGCAGGGCTCTTCCTCCACAAACTGGGGCACTGAACATCCCTGGTTAGGGAAAGTTACCAAAGGCTTTCCCACTCCACAGCCTGGGTGAGGACTCCAGCAGAAAGGGGTGTTTCCACGGTGCTTCAGTCTCACGGTTTTAATAACAGCAGCAGCTTGCTTGGAGAGTTGTCAGCAGTGATAAACTCAGTCCCATTCTGTTTCAAAATTGGTTTAAGAAAGATGCCTGGCTGTTTAATATTTAAGCTAAATGCTTAATGTTTAAACAGGGAAATTGTTCTGATTGTCAGGAAGGGCATTAAAGCAGGATGGGAACTGGTCTATAATAGCTAACAAATTCTGTCCTTTCTGTGCAGCACGTGGTGCCTGGGAGCTGCAGGAGTTTCAGAAATGCCAATTTTAATCAACCTCTTTAATTTAACTTACTGCTCATCACTCCCACAGCAATGAGATGTGCTCTCTCCCTGCAAAGTGGGGAACATTGTACCTGGCCCTGTTTAACAGTTTGTGATTAGTTCAGCCAAACTGATCTTGCACTTCAAAACTCAAACAAATTGCAGTAGAAATGTGCATGGACAAGGTGAATAGTGAAGCTGGATGATGTCAGTTTATGGGTGTGTTCCAGATGAATTGGGGTCCCTTTTGTACAGGTACACAAAAGCTGTGAAATTCAGACGTCAAGTTTAAAGTTAGCACAAAAATGAATGGCTCTAATTGCCACAAATACAGTCATGAATTAATGTTTTCGAACAGATATGGGCAGTTTTTCAGGAAGTGGAAATATCCCCCTGGGAGAAGTATATAATGGTGCAGAACCATTTCACAAAAATGCTCTCAGGAGCAAGCCTGTGCTCCCTCCCCAAGCCCTTGGGCAGGCACTGTGTCTGTGCCAGGCTACATGCACAGGGCAGTCCTAGCACACAGGAATCCCTGCTCCATAATGGTTGAAGCTCGGGAGAACATATTCAGCAGGGAGCCCTTGAGTCAAACTGCAGTTCCACTTAGCGAACCCCCACCTCCCCTCCACCTTACAAATGTTCCTAAGGTGGATGCTGAACCGACCTGTCAAATGGTCTGTCAAAACCCCTTTAAACAAGCATTTAATACTACAGATTAGCATGTTCAAAATCTAACATTGTCGCTTCCTACTGAGACTATTCTCTCATTTCCAGTGAGGGTAATTTGAAGTACATGTGTAAATTCAAGGTAGATGGGAAAGTTTAAGCTGAAATGTATTATTCTTATAAATAATCTATTCAGGCCTTTTTTTCCCCCCAGAGAAGCTGTTAGTGGCTGGCTGATCTTCACACAGAATGGCTGTGAACAAGGAATAAAATAGCCCAGAGACATGAACTGTCTGTACCTTTTATGTGCAGTGCTTAACACTGGCACCATGAGCTCACATCTGATGACAAGGAGCTGCCCAAAGCACCCCTTCCCTCTGGAAACGGCCTCTGGTTTCAAGCCCACCAGCACCTAGGCTAAGATTGGTCTGCACTCATGGTGTCCATCAGGCTTTTGTACAAAAAAGTGAGAGGACATGCTAATGTGGTTGAAGCAGAGGCCAGAAGCAAAAGTCACCTTGGGTAGATATTTCTGTATACATATGGATCATATCAGGCAGTGCAAGGGTGTGATGGCTGCTGCATGTGATGTGCCTGGTGACTTAACACACTAGAGAAACAACATCTTCCACAAACTCACAAAAAATGACAGGAGAAAGAACCTGAAGAAAAAAAGTTTATAGAAGAGCCCCTCTTATTAAGGTTTCAGGACTATTTGAAAGGCACATTTCACCCCTGTTGAATGACAGATGATTTCATAGACACATACAATGCTCACATTTCATGGCAAAAAGACTGCACAATGATGGTATGTTGTGAAACATATATTCCAGACTTCAGTTAAACACCAAAGTAATTATTTTAAATGTGTCATGTACATAGTAAGAGCAGAACAGGCAGATGCATCCAGTTATTGTAATTTACAAGGCAGTAATTCAAGCCCCAAATAACATTTCTCCTTATTGGAAGGCGGCAGGACAGATTACCAGCAAAACGAGGGGCAGCAAATTGTCAGGGAGCCAGGAAGCTGCTGCCATTTGGAAAATAACAGCTAGCACCTGCTGCAAGTCAGAAGGCTTTTACTTGGCCAATTCATTTCACTCTGCTTTAACAGCAAACAGCTGGGCTGGATTGGGTGCTCCTGGGCTAGGAAGGAACCCAGAGCTGTGCCATGGCTCTGCTGCACCACTGCAGGCACCCTGCAGAACAGATAAGTGCAGATGTTTGCTTGGTAGCAGGCAGAATAAAGTCCACTTGTGCTTCCTTTCTCACCATTTAGTGAGCTGCTTCATGCTAATTACCTCTTTTCATCCAGCTCGTAGTTATGTTTCACGTTGCGATGATTAATAATTAATCAAATGGATTGGAAAATTAATTTGGCAATTCTATGTCTGATTGGCATGCTAATCTCTACCATGCAGTAGGGGTGTTAATGGGAATAACCTCTAATATTCTGAGCTGCTAACTGAGGTGAATGCATAAGGGCGTTTATTATCTTGTGTAGTAAAAAATAAAGTGGCGAGTGGAAACAAATGCATTCTCCAAGACCACTTTGCCTTTTGGGAAAGGTGTAATTTGCATTTTGCTTTGACTGTATTAGGAATATACCACTGATATAATTACATCCAATTGAAATACATGGACAAGGAAAAGGCAAATCTGAAAAACACCCCCACAGCTGATTTACAGTTTAGCTGGTAGCAACTGCAGTAGATTTGATGCATTAATTATGGCACTAAAAAGAAAAATCACAAGCAGAACAACTTTTGCCTTTTCTGGCTGTCCATGCCACTTGTCTCCACAAATAACACTCATCTGGTAAAAGTGAAGAAGATGGAGTATGTAGCTTCCACTGGATGTGTGGTCCCCACTAATTTCGAATTAGTAGTCCCTTTTTACAGGCAAACAGCCCCGCAGCAGCCACAGAGGTGAAACACAGGGTAGAGCTAAGCAGGCACAGCAGTCCTGGCACAGATGGCAGGTTCCTCTCCCAGAAGCTGGTGGTGAACGGTCGGGCTGGGACATCCTGGGGGAGAGAGGAGATGGTACCACTGCAGTGTCTCCCTCACCATATGAGTGAGGAGGCACCAAACAACCCCCTCACCAGGCTGGGGAGATCACAAGTTTTCCCAAGGACCAGACTGGGGATGGGAAGGAGGGTGAGGGCTGTGAAATGCCTATTTTCTGTCATCCCAAACAGCCACAGGACAGTAAAGGTAGAGTTACCTGTGACTGGAAGGAGGCTATATTAAGGTTAAAACCATGGCCTGGGACTGCACAGGCCTGGGACTGCACAGAACTAGGCTGACCTCCTGCATTCTGCAGTCCCCCAGGCTCTGAGATCTTTGTCCCTGGTTCTTGACCATCCACTCCTCAAACAGGGGTAACAATATTTGTCGGATGAGTCAAAAAGAAATGAATACCATCAGCACGTGAGGTAAACGAAGCCTCACTCGGGGGCAGGCTCCACAGGAATCGCTGGAACAGGGAGCGCATCCTGACCAAGGGGTGCGGGTCTCACCGGGTGACAGCAACAAACTCTGGCTTACCTGTGACTCTGGCTCTGGCATCCAAATCTCATTCTCTGAGATCCTGCCCATGCTATACAATATCTAGAAGAAAAAAAATTATTTGTGCCATGTGAGGAAAAAAATAAACCCCATGTTACTTTCAGTTTTGGAAAAGCAGAGCAAGGCGGCACTGATAAAAGACATAACTATGACTAGCTGAAAGTGCTTTGAACCAGAAAATGTATAGTGATATGTCTGTTTATATCATCAAAGAGAGGAGAAGGAGGCAGTTTTGGTAGTTTCTGTACATATATGACAGCTGGCCATCAAACAGTCATATGCCTAACCAGTGTTCTAAGGATAAAAGAGTTTCACAGAGTCATTCATAAAAAACAGATCTTCACTCAGAAATCCACATATACTACAGTTTCTCTGGATGATTATTTTAAATACTTTTTCTGAGTACAAGTAAAAACACTTTTTCACATGACAGTTTGAGAAATATCTAGGTGAGGTTACCACCACACACTTGGGATGCAAAGCCTGCTAGGAGTGATGCTGCTTGGAAAGATACAACTCTGGGGCTTTCATAGCACACAATTAAGAAGTTATCTCTTGGCTATTCGGGTAGTACAAAGCTCATCGAAGATTCCTGGTGAGAATAAACTGATTGTAACAATCATGGCAGTTCTCAGGGGCAAATGAAGGTCTCTGGAAGAAACAGCTAACTCTCTTTGTAACCACTGTTCCAAGGCATGGAGAAAAGAAAAGAAAAATTAGATGACTTGAAACTGAGAAGGTAATGAGGACTGTAAGGTGGAAGCAAAGGGCTGATTTTCTCTTAAGTAACAGTTCCATGGCTCTGCCATACATACAGCAGTTGTAACTGTAACTTTAAAGTGTGTTTAACCTCCCTCCACATTGTTGTAAAGGGATTTCACTGTGACTGGGAACCCAGCCCAGCGTGTGTCATTCTGAGGAGATTTAGACATTATCAGAGCTACCCATTATGAATTCATAAACCCAAGCTAACGGTAGTCTCATAAAAGGAGAAGCAGAAGGGATAGATCAAAAATAAGAACAATGCTCAGATTTCCAGATTGCTGCATAGGAAGTAGCTGTGAGCACTTGTAACGACTTATATTACTTTTAAAACATACAGTGATTTATTTGTTAGAAATTGTAGTAGTATATCTAAGGACAGCATCAGGTTAAAGGATTTTTCCTCTAGACGTGAGGTATATGGCTGTTTTGCCAATGACCAGGCCCAACAAAAACGATAGCACCAGCAGGAAGATGAACCAATACACAGACTGTATTGTAGACAAGAAGGACATTCCATGAATGATCGCTGGGGATACAAACAGATCAATCAGCTGGTACATAACTGACGCCACCCCCAACGATCCCACACAGGACGTAACTCGGCCCACAACAGGTGGTACAAACAGAGACCCGAGGTTGCCCATCCTTGGTATGGGAAACAGCCAGACCAG